CCTAACATCTCATTTTAACAAATAAAGGCACTATTTCCACATACAGTTGAGAATTATCAGCAATCATGAAACCAGATAAAAAATTAATATACATTAAGCACTTCATCTTCTGATGGCTTCCTCTGAGTTTCGGTTATCGTTGCCTTCTCCTCATTTCCTCTCTTTATATCTTCCTGTATTGATCTCTGCCTTTTCATCTCTTTTTTAAAAAAAGGAAAGACATGAAAAATTATTTCAATACTTGATATCTGTGTACTGAAAAGTGGGCTCACATTATTATTTATTGTTAAATATTATTAAGTCATAAGGTTGGGAATGGAGGAGAATATTTTAAATGAATATTTCTGCCTACCTGGTCTGTTTTCAACATATTGACTGAATGACTGAAGCTGCGTTTTTCTGACTGTTGAATCCTTGCTGAAAACAACAGGACTTCTAAAACGTTCAGCTGCTTTTTGTAATCGCTCAACATGTTCCTCTGTCTCATTCTGCCAGGAAAAAAACAAAACAGAAACAAAACTGAGCATCACATTCTATTGTTTATAAATGCAAACAGAATAATTGGAAAGGTGTATTTCAGGAGAAGAGTGTTATGGAGAGAAAACCCCACTACTCAGATGCTTGTGTCAGATAACAATTTTACTATGAGCCAAAAATGTATGGAAACACCCCCCCCCAAAAAAAGAGATTTTGGCAAAATAAACTCCTTTGGTTATTAATCTGGCAGCAGCACTTCAGCTGGGGCTGTCTGCTAAGATCTGTTAGCAACATCCACTGTGACTTGAGGCAAAGCTGGACTCAGAAGATTACCATTTGCCAACTGGATACCCAGAGCACCGTGTATATATTAGGGTTCCTAGAACAGTATGTGTATTTTTAAACATCGTATCCTGTTTAATTTGCATACTGCCTCTAGTCTTTTGCGCACATGATTTGCCCCAGTAAAATACTGTGTTTTTCTGAATGGAGCCACATATACTTCCTGTATAACACGAAGAATCATTTCTAATGTTATGATCACTGAGATGAGTCACTAAGGCTTGATGACAAATAAGAAGTAAGGTTATAGTCCCAGTGAACTATGTTTCATTAGTTACAACTTTATGAATCCAGATTTATAAATAAAACCTTTGACAGCTCCGGAAACTAAAATTACCATTTTCCAGAGCTTCCTATGGTAATACATTCAAATGGGTCTATCAATGTGAAATATCCCAGAAGACTAAACCACCGCCGTGTGTGGAAACTGTAGATACCGAGATGCTGTGTACCAAACAAATATTTCATTTTATACCTAATCTATTATTATTTTTATTAAGTGTTTTGAAAGTAAATAGGGAAAGGCTAAGATGCATGACTAATAGCTAAGCCTGCTGAATGCTGAAACTGGTTATCAAAAGCTACCAAGACTTTGCCCTTCCTCTGCATTGAGACAATTGGTAATGAGGGAGTTCTCCAATGGCCTATTCTCTAGCCTCAAGGAGGCCTGGGATACAGAATCCTCCAGGGAAGGTAACAGTTTATCCTTTTCCACAAACACAGAATGCCTATTTATAAATGTGTAAACTGCGTTTTATTAGAAACATAAATCCAAGTCAATGCTGAAAGCTCTAAGAGAACAGATGGACTTTTTTTCATGCAGCATTAAAGAAAGTGTTCAAATCCAGCTATACTTTTTGTTGCACTTACTAAAAAAAAAAAGGGGGGGGGGAATGAACAAAAATGAAAGATCCTCTCCTTCATACAAATGTGTGAAATTAGAATAAAAACTATTTTGCTGGTGTGTGTGTTTATGTGTGTGTGTGTGTGGGGGGGGGGAATGCCATTTTAACTGAATGAAATTGTCCTAACAGAGGAAACTAATCAGCCATCTACGAAGCTAATTTCTTAAAAGCATCACTCATTCTAGAAATTATTTTTCAACAATCCAGATGTTATGATTTCATTCTTCTAAGAAAAGGAACTCTTCATACAATAGCCATCTGACAGTCGAAATGCAAGTCTTTACCAAAATAAACAAACATGGCTAATTTTTTAGGCCTGGCAACATGTTAAAATATCAGTGCGATTAGCCAGTAAATCCCATTTTAAGAAGCCTTTTTATGACTACGGACTTCTGCCACTTTACAAATGTATTCCTCTAAGCCCACTAATTCAGTTAGCCTTTTCAATCCATTGTATTATTCCAAGGCCAGCTTCATTTTGCATTAAATCCACTGCAGAAAGCTAAATTGAACGCAAAAAATCAGACTTGATCCAAGCTTCTCTTTGTTCAAAGATAGAGACTGAAAGCCCTCTGCTGCTGCTCCTGCTTCTGCACACTTTCATCACCAATTTATCGGAACCGACAGTGTAAAGGAAAAAGCAATGAAAGTCATTGTTTTGAGACTTCAAAGCATCTCTGTATCTGGGGAAGGAAATCCTTTCACTCAGCAGGGCATACACCCCCAGTCTGCAGGTGGGTGAAAAGTTATACAAGTGGACTGTACTCACAGCCATCCAAATCTTTTCCCTAAGGAGTAATAGCTATGACTAATGAAGACAATAAGCTGAGTAGATGCACCAACAAATCTATCAAAGCCTATGTATATAGAGAGAATTTCCTGCCACTGACAAATATTATGACAAAATGGCTCAACTACCCAAGATACAAATGCAGTTTCTATAATCGACGTGTTAAAATCATTTACGCAAAAGTTTAATTAAAGATACCACTAAAGCAAGAAGAAAGAGTAATTCTTAAAGTTACTTAAATAGGTCCCAAAAGAGCTCCACCCCACATTAATGAATTAGCTTAAAAAGGAAGAGGATAAAATAAGCAACTTTAGAGTTGAAATAGTACGTTTTTGAGGGTAATAACTTTATTTAGGCCAAGTTAATATTACAAAACTCTGCCAGCTTAATATTGCTAACTTTCAGTTAGCCAAGTAACATATATTTCAGTACTTTTTATACAGCCAATACAATGAATTTCAATTGAAATAAAATATTACCAAAATATATTATTTCATAGCATAATAGCCAAATGAAGCCATTACTAGTTAAAAAAACAGGTGCAATTATCAGAGAAATATCTGTCAATACATAGGCAAAATATAATTCAAATCTCTTTATGTGGCTACAAAAAGTGGTTTTACAGTACTGTAAACTTTGAAGAACTTATTAAAAAAATGGTGATTCTTCACTATTAAATGCAAATCAGAATCCAAAATGCACAGGCATTATGGGGAAAGGATTAATTTTTTTTTGTTAAACTTACCATAAACATTGGCTCAGTGTTATCAGAAACTGATTTTGGAGCTGTGCTGGTAAATGAATTTGCCACCTGTGGCTGAGCGTCTAGGAGTTTCTTCAGCTTCAGATCCATCAACTTGCTGTTCTGCTCAGCTACATATATGAAGCCCACATCACAATGCAGGCAGCAAGAGAGAGAGAGAGGGAGAAAGATAGAGATGCATTTAAATGCAGTTACTATAATAATGCATCTATTTAAAAAATAGTATTTGCATTGCTCTTGTTGTAATCTTTAAATTGCAACTGATATGGAAATCAAATACAGAACTGAGAACTTAAAGAGATGCTACAACAAATGTATTGCGGAGGTGATTAAAAAGAAAAACTGAATCCTAACAATACATTTTAAAAATGGATTCTTTGTGGGGGTTTTCTTGCCTTCATTCCTTTGCAGCTCAGTTATTTTAAGGCTCATGGTGTGTTATGACCAATAATTAATATATTTAGATAAATGAAATCCAATTGATTTTCCCTGAATTTATTTAGAAGTAAAATTATTTAGGGCCAAAGATGTCTAATTAATTTTATCAATATGGCTGGTAAACTCTTTTTCCTAGAATATGCACTTACATAATGTATATTTTTATTTTATATTTAAACATTAACTCTAAATATATTTTCTTTCAATTAATTTCTGCAGAACTCAGAACTTGGTGGACAAATCGTATTTCAGAAGCACATATTGATAAGTTATTTAAGAAATAACCTAACTGGTATAAAATTTGATCCATGTATATATTCATTATTTTGGTGTCCTGAAATATGAAACAGCCATTTGCATGAAGGTATCCAATACTAAAGGACATAGCTTTTTCTAAATATTACTCAGAGAACAGTTGTAGCATAACAAAAATCTCTAATTTATATTATAAAATTTAGAAATGTATCTTGGCATGTCCTCGTCCTCTCCAGTTTGGCTTGAAAGTTGAAAATGTTATTATGCTATCTGTTTATTCATAGTACTGTTCTCACTCTAATCTATTTCTCTGTAACCTGGTGCCCTCCAGACTAACATTTTCATTGGAAATGATGGGAATTGTAGTCCAGCATTTCTGAAGAGCACAGAACTCAAGAAGGTTGTCCCGATCAATTATTTAAGGAAGATGGCAGCTTCAACCTCAGTCATATTGCTTATAGAAATATTGCTTAATTATTGGCAAAGTGTAGTAATGACAATCAAGTTCAGCCTTGCCATGTTGGAATTGGTGAGAGACAAACACTCCTATTTATGTACGGTATAGCAGTATTTCTCAAACTTGGCAAGTTTAAGATGAGTGAACTTCAACTCCCACATTTCCCCAACTAGTATGGGGAAAAACACTACAGTATAATATTATATGAAGAATGTATACTAAACAAACTCCATGTTTTTTCAAATGAAACATTATAAATAATTAAACTGAAGACCTTCCCTTAACAAAATTACTACTCATATATTAAATGATTTTAAGAGGTGAGAAATAGGAACTACTGTGCTAAGTGAATGAATGTTTCCAGTTTAAATCTTGCCATAACTGAACTTATTTATAGATTCATATCTAATTTTTCAGCTAAAATAATAGCTGAAGGCCATTTATAGAGCTTCCAATGGACAAAATATTTTAATAGTCTTATCTCATTTGTCCTTGACTGGTGTGACTTTATTTTTACTTGACAGGTCAGAAACTGTAATGGGTGTAATGGTTTGTCAGGGTCTGCTTGATCCAGAGTTTGAACTCAGTCTTCTAACTATATAGGTAATAGCTATATTCATTTATCCATTAACACTATATGAAAAAGTGAGAATAACGGCTCTCACTATATACTGTAGGTTATAGTAAGGTAGGCCACTGTGAACCAAAGAAGATATAATGCTGAAAGATCTTGATCATTTCTCCTGCCATTTTTAGCACTTTTAATAGCAGCTGCAGTGGAGTAGGGAGAGGAAAATCAGATTAAAACCATGGCACTGAGGATATGTGTGTGAATCCTTTCAACTTGAGTTGCTTATCCAATGTCTTCCTCCCCCTCCAGTGCTGCAGCCATAATCCAATCGCCCAGCTTTCAGAAAGTGAGGATCTGATTACAGCTCCCTTGATATCCTGTCTAGTTATATCATTGTAACATTCAAAGTTCAAACAGCAAAATATGCTCCTTATTTTAGAAATATAAAAGACTGAAACCCTTCATTGAAGACCTTCCCTTAACAAAATTACTACTCATATATTAAATGATTTTAAGAGGTGAGAAATAGGGGCTACTGTGTTAAGTGAATCTGAATGTTTCCAGTTTAAATCTTGCCATAACTGAACTCTTTTCGTGGCCTTTAGGCAATCAAACTGAATGAGCTTCAACTTTTCTTCTGCTATTAAGAGTTCTAAGAATTATGATAAAAACACTCTGAATATGCTAAAGGGCCAGATATCAATGAAATAAAAGAAAACGTCTTCACTCTACAAAAACAAATGGAAGGACATGAAGATGATTATAAGGAAAGAACTTATACCTTCTGTCACAAATTTCCTGAATTCTTGAACATCCCTCCTAGCCTCCATCCAGCAAAAGAAGCCCTTTGTGAGGAACTCAGTACCTGGCTTTTTACTACAAATATTCTAGAAAAATTAAATATCAAGTTCTGGTTTACAGCAAACTCAATAGTCTGACAGAAATCCAGAAAAAAACCCCAATCTTCAATGCTACCTCTCTCTCTTTCTTTGCTAAGCTGTATTTGTTAATTGCTAAAAGGTTTTCCCTTCAAGAAAGTGTTTCTTCCACTATAACCCGAATGCAGAAGAACCTGTTTTCAGACCAAATTGCAGTGAATACTGCTTAGAAAGGGGAAAATGTATATTGAATATTATTGCCAAAAAGAAGGGGGAATAAAGAAAAGACCAACAACATTACAGAAGGTCTGTATATGTTGGGAGCTTGTGTGATATTGTAGTGCACTTTGTAGTCCAGAAGGAAAACCTGTCTTTTGTAGATTCAATTTGAAGAAGTTTTAAAATAGATTGCCAGTATTACCTTCAGAGAGATTTACCTTCAGAGTTATTAATAACAAACATTGTTTGTTTGTTTTTTATTTCAATTCAGAGGCTGCCTCATTCCAGAGTGATTCTAGGAAGATTATAAATTAAAAAAATAAAAGAAACTAGGCATAATAAGGAAAAGGGAAGGCAGAACTAAAAACTCCACAAAAATCTAAACAGAAAAACAAACAAAAGCAAACAAAAACAAATTAACTGCCATTCCATAATCAGGCCATAGCAGAATGTGGAAAGTCAAAAGAAAGGCAGCATATATGTTAGACTTAAATGTTATTTAAGTTTCATTCATTTTTTTTCTCCAATCATGGTCACTTTGGAGCTCATTAATTAGAGTCTTCCTTTTCACTGCAATTGGCTTCAAGTTTATAGTTTTAGATTATGATCTGCCTCAATTTAAATCATTTGTATCAGTGCCTTTCTAACAGTGTTTTTGAAATGCTAGAAAATATTATATTTGTTTACAATGGGCAATAAGTTTTGAACTTGTATTTGCTGCTGTTAACATGAATATACTTGACTGGGACAAAAACATTGCTATGTGATCATAGGAATTTTGTAACTGCACCTTTATTGCACCCTTTGTACATTCATTTGTCATTTTTCTGTCCACATTTCCTCATTTTTCTTTCAATAATCAAATTCCTGGACCCATGTTTTATGACACACCTATCTTGTTGAAATTAATACTCAAAATCCAGTTAGACATATAGTAATTCCAAATAAATATGCAAAGGACTGCTAAGATAGCCTTCAAGTATAATTGTTTTTACTTGAAATTCACAAAACATTTATAGCCTTTTGGTAATAACCAAAACTAGTCTATCAAGAAATGTTTGCTGATTCCCATTAAATTTACATTCAGTACTGATAATTAACAACTGCGTTTCAAAAAAATAAAAAATCAATCCTTAATTGATAGTTAATTGTAACGCTGTTAAAAATGTCTGAGAGGGCTTTGATGAAAATCAAATGAATCCAAGCAAAAATAATACCAAGCTAACAAATTACATGGTACTGACAGTTAAATTAAAGTTAGTCATGGAAATTAGCCGTGTAGTTGAATTACCATTGGAATCAAGCTCATTTTCTAAGTTAGTATGTTGATCTTCACCACTAGAAATAATGTATTCAGGAATCTCCTCATTAGAAACTATCACAATGTTATCACTCCGATCCTCATCTGTAAGAACATGCCGTAATAAGGTTAGTGAATTTTTGTTTTGTACATGCATCAATTCAATGAAAACATTAGTATTTTAGAGTTAGTTGAGCATATTAATCAGTTAGTTGAGCACATTAATCAGTTGAGCACAGAAAGAAAAAAGTTAGTGAAATGTAACAATTGGTTGAGAGAGAAAAAACATATGCTTTATTTAAATTATATTACAGGTAGTTCTCAACTTACAGTAATTCATTTAGTGATGGTTCAAAGTTACAGCGGCACTGAAAAAAGTGACTTATGACCATTTTTCATAGTTACAACTTTTCCAGCATCCCCATAATCATGTGACCAAAATTCAGATGGTTGGCAACTGGTTCATATTTATGACGGTTACAGTGCCCCGGGATCATGTGATCTCTTTTGCGACCTTCTGACAAGCAAAATTAATGGGGAAGCCAGATTCACTTAACAACTGTGTTACTAACTTATCAACTGCAGTGATTCACTTAACAACTGAGAGACGAAAGGCCGCAAAATGGGGCAAAATTCACTTAACAAATGTGTCACTTAACAACAGAAATTTTGGGTTCAATTGTGGTAGTATGTCGAGGACTACCTGTAAATGCACAGTATTTATAAGCACTACTATATATAAATGCTATTTGTTACTGTTCTGCAAAACCTCTGAAAAAGATGCTTTGCAGTAACTGGAACATGTAGAAAGCACTTCTTTTGAATGTCCTATTATGTTGTTTGGTAACTTGCTAAACTGTGAGACAATATGTCAAATTTAAATTTAATTTTCATCCAACTGAAATGTAATGTTTCATATGCTTGCTGAAATGTAAATATTTCAGAAAACTTAGTCCCACACTGCACCAAAGCAGATATTCTTCTCCTCTAAATGCAAATCTTACATATACCCATTTTAACAAAACACAGAAAATTCCAATTACCACAATCTAAAGATCTAGCATGATTGAATATGGGTACCAAATCTGAAGGAAAAAAGGGAAATCTCAGAGAAACATTTGAAACAATAAAAAAGAAATTTAAAAACCAGAATTAATAATTACAAAAAGAAGAAAAAGAAAAAATAGGGCATAAAGCAATAAAATAACAGGAAGTTTGCAACTGCTATAAAAATTAAAGTTCACTATTTTATTAAATAATAGATTGTATAGAACTGAATACACTGTAGAATTTTCAAGAAAATTAAAAAAAAATCTAGTGAATTCTGAACAAGATGCTAATCTCACCACTATCATTACTCCAAGGATAAATGAAAGTAATCATATAAAATGGGAAAAAAACAAAAAAGAGGGGGGGAAAGAAAAAGTAAATAAAAAATTATTAGAAAACTATTTGAATTCAAATTTCTTACCAAAAGTTCTCAACCAAAAGCATTACCAATGACAGAAATAAAAAGACAGAATGGACTAGAACAGTGGTTCTCAACCTTTTTAATGCCGTGACCCCCAACCGGTCGTAAGTTGAGGACTACTCAACTGGTGCAGCACCATTTGCAGAATGGGACTTTTGGCAGGCTCAGCAGGGCAGAGACAGCCTGGACAATTCCTATTGGCTTTTGAAAGCAATAGAATTAGACTCTATTCAAGAGAGTCTATTCTATTGGCTTTCAAAAGCCAATAGAATAAAAGGGAATAGCACAGCTAAGGAAAAGGAGAAAAAAAATGGTGGACTGCGTTGTTTGGCAACCCCAGTGAAATGTCGTTCGACCCCAAATGGGGTCCCGACTCACAGGTTGAGAACCACTGGACTAGATACAACTACTGTTTCCCTGTAAACAAGACCCGGTATTATTATTATTATTTGCCTCCAAAAGAGGCACCAAGTCTTATTTTTTGGGGGGGTGTCTTTTCCATGGTCTCACCTCATGGTGGGGGCACCGACAGCAACACCCAGCCAGCCCACTTCTTCTGGGCTACTCGGCACCGCTTGCGCATGTCACCCCTGGCCTGCATTTTGCCATCAGAGGCCTTTCAGAAAGGCTTCTGCAGCCGAGAACTGAGCTACAGATTCAATCTGTAGCTCATGTGAGTCAATCCAAAGCTCCATTCTCAGCTGCAGAGGCATTTCCTGAAGGCCTCTAACAGTGAAATGGAGGCGGGGCAGGCAACATGCACGAGCGGCAGTGAGTGGATGCAGAAGAAGTGGGCCAGCAAGAAGGAAGGTATATTAGGTGTGTTTACTGTCTTGAGTTATTTATAAAATAATAAAGGCAGGATAAAAAAAAAACTAAGAAAAAAAAGAAGCAACCCATTCTTACTTTCAGAATTACTGTACAGAACAACGAGGATAATGAAATAAAAATTTAAGTATAGAACAACAAGTATCAGGACAGACTAAGAACCCCTCTCGTAGTCTGTGGGAAGAATAAAATTTACCTTCTTTTCTCTTCCAGATGTAAACTTCACCTCCTGTCTACAAGTAAGTTTTATAGCTTCATTTAAAGAATCTGCTATTAATTAATATAGCGATCCATACTCAAAGAGCTGCTGCTTCTTACTTATAGAGAAGATAGACTTAATAATTTAAAAGACTGCTTCCATGGTACAGAAGCCACACATGAACACAGAACAGTCAGTAGAGCAAAACTGGGTCAAGGTTTGCACCACTTGATTTTTCAGTCAACTATTATGAGTATAGCAATATTCAGAATTATCCCTGACTAATTGGGAATATGAATCCTTAAAACTAAAATACTGTTCCAAAGGCAATAAGCCACACATGAAATCACAAGTACACATATACTCTGCTTTATGTTTCTTACTGCCATTTTTGTGGTCTATGTAGTCGACTGTCCCAAAACAATACACAATTTGTCAAGATGGAAAAAACATACTGATTTCAGTCTGTTGGTAAAATTGTGAAGTGACTCTCTTGCATAATTCCTGAATCATAACTCTAGTCTCACTAGCTCAGAAAATAGTTATTGATCTTATTGACATAATTATGACTTCCTGGTTGGTTTCTTTCCGGTGTTTATATTTAGGGCAGGAAGAGTGTAAGATCACCTTCTGCTGTCTCTGGACCAATGGATGGGTCAGAGCATGACTCATATCTATATAAACTTTATTAAATAATTATTTAATGAATAAAAACAAAACAAGAATAAAAACAATACATTACAGCATGAGCCATATTTATGATAAATACAAGAGGCCAGTTTGGCAGATAAAATGAACAAATTCCATAAGCTCTTAAGATAGTGAATAGAAAATTATCTTAATAATAAATATAACTTCAAAGTTTGAAGTATCCTTGATTGTCTATGTTCAACTATCATGCTCTAAACCCATGAAAAACATCTGGAGTGAGAAATGTAATGACTGTGACAAAATGTGAAGAATGAACATAATTTAAAGATGATCATTTTTTTCTTAGGAGAACCTCTTCTTATATAGAAAAAAATGAAGCCTACTGGACTAGTAAAATAATACTTAATGTTTGGGATTAGACCCTTCTAGGTATATTCCAATTTTTTCAGTTTCCAGCAAATTACTCCATCAGAACTGATTGTGTCTTGGAACACTGGTTGGTGCTGATACTAGGAACCTGAATCTGAGTTTTGAACCAGTAACCTAAATGCTATTGAATACTCCTTTCTAAATGATTAATTGTGCAAGCTTCTTTTAAATTGTCTTGAAGTAATTGCATACCAAGGTTGTTGATACAAGGAATGGCTTCTCAAATATAATTATGTTTCATAGCATAAGATTTTCTCAGGTTTTAATCTGTGGTAATCACCATTCTGCTTTCCAGAAGATTACATTTTTATGTGAAAAAAGGGCTCTATAGCTTCAGTAACTCTGAAAAAATAGCAGATAAAATTGCTACTAGGGTCAAATCTGTGCCTCCATGAACTCTGAGACACCTTCCTGGAGTTGAATCAAAGAACTGCACAGCCCTAATATCAACCATAGTGTGTATCAAATGAATTTCAGCTTTATACAAGTATACATTTTTACTGCAGTAAAAATAGAATTTTATATAAATTGTAACAAGGGCTAGATTCAAATGTAGAAAGCATGTAAATGTATATTCAGCATCAAGGCATCACCAGACAAACAATACCAGATAGACAATATTGACATAATAAATTCAACTATGTAACAGGAAAGAAAAGATAGAGAAAGCCTATCTAGTCAGCCAGTACATTTTCAGGTGCAGATTGTGGAAAGGAATATGAATTTTCAGTATTAAATGTATAACTTTAACTTAGAAAATTAAAGGCAGTAAGTGTGTCAGCAAGATTTAACCTGGAGGGTATATATAAGATCAATGTAAGGAACAAATTCAGTATACTTAATTTGTAAGAAAGAGAACCTGGGGAACTACAGCAAGAGATAAGAAACATTGTGAAAACTGAAGCAGAAAAACATATTCCCAAAATTTCAAAGGAAAAGGGATCCAAGCAGCTTTCAAAACAAGCTATCACGATAGCCAAGGAAAGATGAAGATGAAAGCAACAAGAATGGACAACAGACAAAAGCAAACTTTATCAACTAAGAAAAGACAAAGGAAGATGTTAACAAATAGAGGAAAATGATAAGAAAATGAGGGATGGTTTTCAGGAAATGGCACAACTCCTAGTAAAATATACAGCTAAAGTAGAATTACTTAAGGTTAACCATTGAAGAGATCTAATAGAGGCAGTGAGATTCACAGAAGATAGATTAAACTGAAATCTTTTACAGACAGGATAATGGATTGATAAAAAATATTTATAGAAAGAATATATAACAACCATGTCCACTAAAAAGAAATATGAGAGCAATAGACCAGCTGTCAAATAGGAAAGCATTAGTACAGATGAAATATCCGCTGAACTATTTAGAGCAGTGTTTCCCAAACTTGACAATTTTAAGGCATGAGGACTTCAACTCCCAGAATTCCACAGCCAGCAACGCTGAATGTGGAATTCTGGGAGTTGAAGTCCACATGCCTTAAAATGGTCAAGTTTGGGAAACACTGATTTAGAGCTTCAGGAGGAG